TATTTTTTTGGTTTTTCTCCGGTACCGGGAACCGAACTCACGACCTTGCGCTTGCCAGGCAGGCGCTTTTGCTGCTGAGCTAAATCCCCAGCCCCTCTTCCTTTCAATTTTATTGCAGAGGAAAAAAAGGACTCATATTCCATCCTAATCCCAGGCCCTCCCCTTACCTTTTATTATAGGTTCTATTTTAATATGCATGTTTATTAAACTTCTATCTTACTTTTCTCTAAATCACAAAGTTTGATAGAAAAATAATCTATTATATAACAGACTCAGTAACTATTTGCTGAATAAGTTTAATACTTAATCTTGATTATTTTTATTTTTTGGTGCAACTGAACCCAGGGCCTTGTGCCTGGCAAGCAAGCACTCTACCACTGAGCTATATCCTTAGCTCTGTAAATTTAATCATAATCTAATTTAAGAAGTAAGCCATTTTGGGGCTGGGGATTTAGCTCAGCGGCACAGCACCTGTCTGGCAAGTGCGAGGTCATGAGTTCGATTCCCAGTACCGGAAAAAAAAACAAAAAACAAAAAACCAAAAACAAAGAAGCAAGCCATTTTGAAAATAGTAAACATTACAATTATTATTTTTGAGACTGTCTTGCTGTGTTGCCCAGGCTGGCCCTGAATTCTTGGGCTCAAATCATCCTCCCACCTTGTAGTACTTGGGACTACAAGCACATACTGCACTCAGCTACAGCATGCTATTATTTGTAGAACTAATAAAATACACAAGATAGGACTTAAAAATATTATGTGGAGGGGTTGGGAGTGCTGCTCAGTGGGAGAGCATGTGCTTACACAGGCCGAGTTCAATCCCTAGCAGCTAAAAATATAAATAAAAAATTTATATAAATATACACACACACATATATAGTATTTATTATGTAAATATATATATACACACACACACATTTTATATAACGTGGAACACAGTTTCTTCCCATACATAAACTGTGACAACAGAGGTAAATCTGACTCGGCAAAAACAGACTTACTTGAATAATCATTTAGTAGAAATTTAGGACAGTGGTACCTCAGTTCACTAACTTAATTTGTTCCATCATTCTGGAAAAGATGGACACGGTCATGTTCATGACCCAATGCAGAGTTCACAAACAAAAACAAAATTTTGCCAAGCATTTGTTTGTGAATCAAACTGTTCACAAACAAAAGCATTCATGAACTGAGGCAATGGTGTAAATTAAAAATAACTGAAATGTTTTAGAAATTAAGAGAATTAGATTATCTATCACACCTGGGCACTCAAGACATGCAAGCTGTACCTGATCAGTTCTAGCTGAGCCAATTCCAGATTAGCTTGAAAAATAGGCTTCTTTGTGAACAGTTCCCCAAGGATGCACCTAGAAAGAGTAAAATTGAGGGGTCAAGAAAGAAATCCTTGGACCTGTTTCAAGTATGTCTCAATAAACTCTTTTTTTTTTTGAGACAGGGTCTCACTATGCAGTTCAGGCTGGTCTTGAACTCATTTCGTAGCCCAGGCTGGCCTCGAACTCAAAATGATCCTCCTGCCTCAGCCTCCTGAGTGCTGCGATTACACATGTGTGCCACCACGCCCAACTCTCAAACTTTTATAGCATATCAGACAACATCTGATATACCATGTTGTAAACCAGACTAGAACTTCAGCTTCTGAGCTTCCTCAAAGAAAACATTTCTTGTGATGAAAAGAGGTATTATAGAGCAGTGATGGTAAATCTTTTAGAGTTTTCAATGATATAAACAATCCGCTGTGGCATGTGTGTCACTGGTTTGCCACCACTGGTAAAAGGATTTAAATTTGCCTACAGATTAAACTTTTCCACCCATAAGGGACAGTCTATAAGCAGGAAGAAAATGTCAAGAGTCTTTCATTTCTACCATGCTACTATAAGAAAGTAATTAAAGACAACTTTATGAGGAAGCTCAGTAGTTTCTATAAAGGAAATACTAATTTGTCATTAATTTGTTCTGTAAAATACATACTACGCAAAGCCCTCTTGTGCAGCCCACTGTATTTGCAAAGAAAACAATTTATTATTATCTATGTACTTGAGACTGGCCTCAAACTCATAGGGATCCTCTTGCTCCAGCCTCCCAAGTGGTTCATGTCTATAATTCCAGCTATTCAGGAGGCTGAGATCAGCCTGGGCAAACCGAGATACTCTCGAAAGGATTAAAATAAAAAAGACAACCAAGTTCCATTCATGATCCTAGATTTGGGAGTATTGGTTCCAGGATAGTATAAGGGTACTAATGAAACTAGAATATCAAATAGGTACTAAAGTACTATATTAAATAAAAATAGTATATGAATGCTAAAATTTCCTGATTTTAATTATTGTGCTGTGGCTATGTAAGAGGGAATCTTATATGAAGATTTTTTTTTGTCTTTTTGAGACACGGTTTCACTAGGCTGACCTTGAAATCACTTTGCAGCCCAGGCTGGCCTTGAACTCAAAGTAATTTCCTGCTTCAGCCTCCCAAGTATTGCGCCACCATACCTGGCTATAAAGATTTCAAATTCAAGCTGGGCGTGGTGGCACAAGCCTATAATCCCAGCACTCGGGAGGCTGAGGCAGAAGGACCATTGCGAGTTTGAGACCAGCCTGGACTACAAAGTGAGCTCAAGGCCAGCCTGAACTGTATAGTGAGACCCTGTCTCAAAAAGGAAAAAAAAAAAAAGATTTCAAGTTTAAGCCCAGTCTGGGCAATTTAGCATGACTCAGTTTAAAAAAAAAAAAAAAAAAAAAACTTTAAAAAAATTCATTGAGGCAGGAGATATAGCTCAGCAGCCCAAGCTCCTGCCTGGCAAGCGCAAGGTCTTGAGTTCAATTCCTGATACCCACCCCCGAGAAAAACCGAAAGAAAAATTCAGTGAGGAGGAAGGGGAGGGAAAGGGGGTAAAAAAGGAATTAATATGTGTTCTGAAAATAAAAAATAAAAAAGATGTGTTCTGTCCATGTGCCAACTTTTCACAAGGGATGTAAACATTATGTACTACACACATGTACTAATAAAATAAACCAAAATTTAAAGTTTTTAAAACTTTAGGAAATGTGGATAAAGGTTTATACCACAAACTTGTGATCCTCTTGCTTCAGCCTCCCGAGTGCTAGGATTATAGGTGCATGCCACCATGCCCATATAGTCTCATAACTTTTGTGTAAGTTTGAAATTATCTCAAAATAAATTTAAAAGAAAAATTACATGACTAATCTATACTTTTTATATTTCTGGACTATTTCACTAAAAAGAAAAAAAATTTTAAAATGACCAATTGCTTTTTTCTCTGATTTGTGCTTTTGTTTTTTAAGACAGACTCTTGTAGCCTAGCTGGTCTTGAATTTGCAGTGATCCTCCTGCCTCAGCCTTCCAAATGCTGGTCTTATAGGTATGCGCTGCCATGTCTAGCTGGCTTGTGCTTTTCAAATGAGTTTTATATACAAATACAAAACTAAGTTCACAGATTTACTTTGAAATGTTTTAGCTTGATTTAATTTGAGAAAATAAAACAATCCTAATTTTTAGGTAAGTAACACCACTGTGTAGGCATTTACTGGCATTTACTAAAGTATTTGCATTTATTTCATAAATTAGCATTTATCAAATGAAAAAAAATTTATTTCCAATATTCTCTCAAACCTTAGAGATGGAAAGAGAAAAAGTAAAATTAAGTTCTGTCTCCAATATCAACTGCCAAATCAAGTTCCAAATACAATCTTGTAACAACTGGTAAACTAAGAGGAAAAAAGGAAAACCCGCAAAGCATAGTGAGGTTTTCAGACCACTCTTTCTAGTTTTCTCTTTGGTTGGTAAACTGAACCACTCCACTACGTAACTCTCTGGAAAGATTCTATACAAGTATCTTCAGAGAAACTACCCTGGATCACAAAAGCAGTAAGTTCATTTCAAAAGTAAAGCACATCTCAATTCAGTAAGTCACTGGGCTTTAAAGAAAGTCTAATTTTTTATAGTTTCAATTTCCAGTTGTTTTTGTCTTTTCATTTCTAGTCTTTTGGTAGGGAAGATACCTTCATTGTGTAATCAACACTTTGTTACTGCACTGAGGTGACTTGTGCAGACTGAAATAAGAGTACCAACAGGGCTATGAACTTTTCCCATGCATCTTAATGGGGCGTTAATTTAGAGCCTAGTTGTTACAATTTAAATGCTAATACTGTTACAGCAAATAGTCCAGAACACAAACACACTCAGCTTGAGTCAGTAAAATTTAACTAAAGCTTCATTTGATTGGGGTAGGCTATTTAGAAATTATATAGTGCTCTTCTTAAAGACTGACATTAACAGAAGGGAAAGAATGGGAAAAAGTGATCAGCTCTTTAAGAGGCACACTGGATTATGTCAAAATCATGAAGCAAGAAGGTCAAAGACAGCGTGCCATACAACATTAGAAACAACGAACACACATGGCTCTTTGAAAAATAGTGATGCCAGGGCTAGTGGTGTAGCTCAGTGGCACAGCACCTGCCGGGCAAGCGCAAGGTCGTGAGTTCATTCCTGGTACCGGAAAAACAACAACAACAAAAAAATAGTGATGCCTCTAACAAACACATTGTGGTTTCTAAACATCATTATTCACTAAAAGAAACTCCTCAGGGAAATGGCTGATTCCAGGTCTGAGGAGGAAATGAACAGGATAAGCCTGGAACCAGAAAACAAGCTTGGCTGTCATAAGACTACTATGATGTATCCAGGGAATATGAGAAATAACCTGGCAAAACTCCCACTGGCCAAAGACTGGATAGTTTAAATAAGAATAAGGATGATAACCACAATGGATTAAAACACATCAATTATGTTTAAATCCAAGAGTTTATAATGAAACAAAAAATCCTCATTTACTCATTTTCAGAGAACACCATGTCATTATTTTGAAAACTGATAAAATGGAAGAGTTAACCTTTAAGTCTCTTAAGAGGTTTACCCCGGGGGTTAGCCACATAAATATTATCTTTATATAAGTATTCCAATAAGGAATGCTATAATGAGAATACGACCAGTACAAAACAACCTCAAATGAATTACAGAATGTGGGCAGTATCATCAATAGCTAATAACGTTTCAAAAAAGACAAATTTTTATAAAGTAGGGTATATGTGTAAATCTGCCCTAGCAAGGATGAATATTTTATCAGGCATGTTCAGAACTGCCACCATAAAGTCATAGCATAAAACCACTAATTTATAGTGGATTACTTTATTGATCTGAAGTTACCCAGAGAAAATGCACTTTTTGTTACTCTGGTTAGAGACTCCTATCATTCCCTACCCCCAAGTTTGCTGTGCCATTGATTACATAACTGGTGTTAGTTACCCAAAACCACCTCAAAATAGGGTCAGTAGGTGCCTGAGAATCAATCTTGGACTTGCCTACTATTTACAGAAAATGAAACAGATGAAGAACCATGTTAAAAATAAACAAAAATGAGCTGGGCATGGCAGTGCACGCCTGTAATCCCAGCACTAAGGAGGCTGAGGCTGGAGGATAGCTGAGAGTTCAAGGCCAGCCTGAACTGCACAGTGAGACCCTGTCTCAAAAAGACAAAAAAATAAACCCCATATGAGTACAATAAGCAAATTCCAGACTGTGAGAAGTCTACAGAGCAAATGACTGTTTCCCCTATGGAAACTATAAGGATACAAATCCAAAAAAGAGACGGAAAAGGGATATCTAATTGAAAGACTTACAACTGACTTTACTCTATGGGCTTTACTTGAATTTATCACCTGGATACTAATTCAAATGAAGTTAAAAGAAAAAAAAAAAAGACAATTAGTCGGCATGGTGGCACATGCCTGTAATACCAGCACTGGGGAGACTGAGGCAGGAGGATCACTATGAGTTCGAAACCAGCCTGGGCTACAAAGTGAGCTCAGGACAAGCCTGAACTCAAGAGCAAGACCCTGTTTCAAAAAGAAAAAAGGAAACAAAACTAAAAAATACTCAACGGAACAAGTGTGTCTACCCTCTTGAACTTAAGAACTTCTGTAAAAAGCCCATGTAGAGTAAAAATAGGTAATATATCAACAATATCTGAATTACAGAAAAAAAGGTAAAGAGAACCTTACCCACAGCTCCAAACATCAATGGCTGGTGTGTAACGTTCCTCTCCCAGCAGCAGCTCTGGAGGTCGGTACCACAGAGTAATGACTTTGTTCGTGTAAGGGCGACTGAAATGTAAAATCATTATATGTAAATTTATAATGGCCTTTGATAAAAAAGCAAATAGACATAGCTGCCAATTGAAGCTGAAACTATTAAAACAGCTCCACATGAAACTAACAGTCTAAAAATAAACAGGATAGAAGTGGGAGATGAAGAAACAATTTTTTTTTTTTTGAGACAGGGTCCCACGGTGTAGTTCAGGCTAGCCTCGAATTCACTATGCAGTCGAGCCTGGCCTCGACCTCATGGTGATCCTCCTCTGGTGTGGTGGGATTACACACGTGTACCACCATGCCTGGCCAAAGAAACAACTTTTATTCCAGTTTAGGTTGACTTATTTAAGCCAAGGGCTAACTCAAGAATTTACACAGAACTTAATACCTAAAATCTGTGTGATAACACCTTCCAATAAGGATTCTTTTCTATTTCCCATATGTAATTTTGCTTCCACCACACACTTTTTTGGAACAGGGGTCTACGTTGTTCAGTCTGACACTGAACACTTAGGCTCAAGTGATCTTTCCTACTTGTAATTTTTTTGGGGGGGTACCAGGAATTGAACTCAGGACCTTGCGCTTGCCAGGCAGGCACTTGTGTCACTGAGCTATATCCCTGGCCCTCTACTTGTAATTTTGAATGCCTTACCTCTCTTCAGAGTTATACAGCCGAGCAAGTCCAAAATCTGCTAATTTAATTTGTCCACTGTAAAACAAAAAACAATTATTTTGTAGTAACAGCAGTGGTCCCCAAACCATACCTCAAAAAAGGGAGCCAATTCAGGAGTTAAAAGAATTACAAAAATGAATTTTTACCTCTTTTTTCTTATTTCTATTCTTTTTGTTTTGTTTTGTTTGTTGAGACTGGGTACCGCTACGTAGACCACGCTGGCTTTGCATTCTCTAGGTAGCCTAGGCTGGCCTCGAACTCACTGCTATCCTCCTGCCTCATCCTCTCAAATAATGTGATTGGAGGTGTGCACCACTACACCTGGTACCATACTGCATTTTGATTTCTTTTTTTCTGTTTTTGTCTTTTTGAGACAGGGTCTTGCTATGCAGTTCAGACTGGCCTTGAATTCACTTTGTAACCCAGGCTGGCCTTGAACTCACAGTGATCCTCCTGTCTCAGCCTGCCAAGGGCTGAGATTACAGGAAGGCTGAGATTACAGGCGTGCGCCGTCACACCCAGCTCTTTTTTTCTGCTTTTGTATGGCAATACTGGGGACTGAATCCAGAAGTAACATCCCCAACCCTTTTTTATTTCGAGGCAGGGTCTTGCAAAATTGCCAAGACTGGCCTCCAACTTGTAATTCTACCTCAGCCTCCTAAGTAGCTGGGATTACCGGTGTGTGCCACTGTGCCTGACTGGATTTGACTTCTTAACTACATTATTTCTTTCACTGCTTGGTAGGCAACAATGCTTAGAACCTGCTAGATTAAATACTTACTGCTGAAGACAAAAAAGAATGGGAAGTTCCAGATTAATAGAGATTTAAGAGGCCTAACAAATCTAATGACTGATTCTGGTGCAAACAAACTAGTGACAAAAGACATTTCTTTTTTTTGTTTTGTTTTGTTTTCCTAGGGTCTTTCTATGCAGTTCAGACTGGGTTTCAGCTCACTTTGTAGCCCAGGTTGGTCTCGAACTCACAATGATCCTCCTGCCTCAGCCTCCCAAGTGCTGGGATTACAGGCTGGGATTACAGGCGTTCACCACCACGCCCAGCAACAAAAGACATTTCTTAAATAACTGAAAAAATTTAAAATATGACCTGGCTATTGAAAGATGCTCTAGTGTAAGAACCTGAAAGTGTAAATAAAACCCAAAATGTACAATAGATATTACGAAAGGGAAATTCAAAGGAAGGAACAACTGGGATGAAAAAGAAAGAAAGAAAGAGAAAAAAATATATATACATATATATGTATATGGAAGGATAGCTGGGACAACTGTCCTGCTGATGTCTAATGGTTTATTGATAGGAAGAGTTAATACCTAATTTTTTTTCTTTTTGACCAATTTTGCATGCTTATATCTGATAACCTGAACAACTAATTCGAAGATAACAATATGCAGTATAACAACTGGTGAATTCCTATCATCTTGTCTAGTGAGACTATTGTTTCTAATGTTTCCTTTTTCTATTATTTTTTATTCTCTTTAATGGTTTGATC